GTTGTTTTGATCAATTAACATGACTTTCTTAAGCAGGATTTCTTCATAATGTCTATGTAACACTCTGTCATTGCAACCTGAGGTTTTTGAGATATTTTCTTTTCTTTCCCCTTGTCTGAATGTTTATTTGATCACTAATTTGCATGCATATTTGAATTTTTAAATGTCTTATTTTAGAAAGATACCTCATATCCGTTTTAAAGATAGATAAATTATTAAAGTATTTAATTATTTTGGATGACATTAGTCATTTTATTTTATATATAAAACAAACAATTTTTAGTTGAACATTTAGTTCTTTTGAGACCAAATTAAATTTATTTCCCATTGAGGTAATGCCCATCGACTGTAAACTTTTTTATGAATCGATTTGAACAATTTCATAAGAGCAAGTAGTAGATATCTTTTACAGTGCCAATGTAAGATTTATTTGTTATTGGGACTAATGGAGTTAATAAATTTTGAAAGTGTGAAAGAACTACAGAACTTCAAAAAATAATTTAGAATAAAAAACAGAACATCTGGCAAACACTCACAAGGTGTGTGTGTTTTTTTTTTCTTATAATTTCTTAAAGCAAATGACTTTAATGCTGTAAGGTGATTTTTTGCACGAACTTTACCATGCAGGAAACATGTTGAATACCTCCTTAATTTAATTTTGACAAATAAAACTGAATTCCCAAACAAATTAATCATCATGGTCACTTTCCCCCTGGGAAATCATTATTAAAAATTTATTAATAGAAATTGAAACGCTAATATCAAATGGAAACTTTAGATCCTTGTGGTTAGTTTTGCTTCTATATTTTTAGTTTCCCCCATTCCCTTCCTTTCCTCATTTTAATTTGAATAGACTATTGTTTAACTCAGTATTTCCTTTGATGAGATGTCACTGTATCTTTTCTTGTATGTCACACTTTCAAAAAAATCTATAAAACTTTTAAACTATGTCTACATTTTCATTTGTGTAGGATGTTACAATTTTTCATGATTCTTGGCTATTTTATATAGATGAGGATTTTTCTAGATTTTGCTGGGTCAATATCAACTTTAGAGTAATAGAAGTGCTCCTCCTGGTGACAGAAATAAGCATTATACTTTATTCTCTGTTTTAATGCTAAAAAACTTTGTGAGCTAGAACTAACTTTATGTTTGAATTTTAAATATGAGCAAAAGTACCTAGTAAGTTTCCAATTTACAATTTACTAAGCATAGCTGATATTGATCTGCTGTATACTATATTTAAATCCTTCATGTATTAGAATTTTGGTCAACTTTACTGATGATCATTTTACAAGTCATTTTTAGAATAATGATTTATACTCATTAAGTAATTCGTTTTAAGAACTTTTTCTATAAATGTATAATTTTATATACATATCTAAATATTTATTCATCTATATCTTTTTATCTATGCCTTTCATTCTGGAGTCTGTTGTACTGGTACCAACTAATTTCATAAATAGTCTAACCCTCCCATTTGATATGTGGTACACTTTGGTGCTATTAAAATGTAAGATGTTTTCTCATAGTAATTTTAATTTAGCACATTCTACTATTTATAATGCAGATTCTAATGAAGTAAAAAGTGAAGTTATTACTATTAATCAAAATCCTGAACATCAAATTGCCTTTCTATTTGGCAGTATAACATCTTAAACTTGATTTACTTTTTATAGACTATATTTTTCAAGCCTGGTAATGTTACTATGTAGGTTACTAACTCCACTGTCAATGCAAATTACATTTATCTTGTCAGGCATCTTCCATCTGAAAGTCCCTGAGTCTTCTCCCATTGGTTCAGCTATTGGAAGAATCAGAGCTGTGGATCCCGATTTTGGACAAAATGCAGAAATCGAATACAATATTGTTCCAGGAGATGGGGGAAATTTGTTTGACATCGTCACAGATGAGGAGACACAAGAAGGAGTCATCAAATTGAAAAAGGTACATAGACAAAATTTTAGGCCTTGAAGAGTAATAATAATTAAATAATGGGAAAAAAATGAAACGAGAATGACAAGTAATTTTAATTTTTCTTCATTTAGCAATATGGCTGACAATTGAAAGACTCAGGGAATGAGGCACCAACTGCTATACAGTCAAAAACTCGAGTGTAAATTTTGAGTCCCTGAAGACTTAACTTCTAATAGCCTACTGTTAACTGGAAGCCTTGCCACAACATAGTCAATAGACACGTAATTTGCATTTTCTACGTCTTACATACTGTATTATTATAAAGTAAGCTAGAGAAAAGATTATGTTGATTGAAAAGTAATAAGGAAGAGAAAAAAATATTTCCCATTCATTAAGTGGAAGTGGATCTTCACTGAGTTCTTCATCCTTCTCAACTTCATAGTGGATAGGACTGAAGAGCAGGAGGAAGAGGTGTTGATTTGCTGCCTCAGAAGTAGCTGAGGCTGAAGAAAGCCATGTATACGTGAACCTACATAGTTCAAACCCTTGCTCAAGGTCAACGAATGGTATTTTATTTATTGATTTATTTTTAAAGACAGTCTCACTTTGTCACCCTCAGTAGAGTGCTATGGCATCACAGCTCACAGCAACCTCCAGCTCTTGGGCTTAAGTAATTCTCTTGCCTCAGCCTTCCAAGTAACTGTGACTACAGGCACCCACCACAATGCCCAGCAGTTTTTTTATTGCAGTTTGGCCAGGGTCGGGTTTGAACTCACCACCCTCAGTATATGGGGCTGGTGCCTTACTCACTGAGCCACAGGTGCCACCCAATGAATGGTATTTTAAATTAAAAAAAAGACCTACTGACTGAAGTATTTACTTTCATAGACACTGTTATTCTGTGATGCAGTAGGTGTACATTTTTTTGTTGAATAATCAGGCTTATTAATTTCATTAGATTGTTAAAAATGCTTACCAAAGTATAACTACCATTTAATTTTTTATTGCTATAAATGTAGACAAAAGATGTATTTAAACACGAAATCCAGAAGTAAATGCTTACCACATCAGCCTTGATCATTTTATATAAATCATTTCTCTGAGAATATAATATTAATTCATCATATTGTTGATGAGAGTGGATATCATATTGGAGGAATCCAGGGTGGGAAAGTTCTAATCATCACCCAAGGAATGGAAGTAATGAGAAAGAGCAATAATGGGCATAAGGGAGCCGTAAGAAGGAAAGTAAAAAATAATTTCTTGGAGGGGAGAGTGACGAACAGTGATAGGACATTCTTTAGTAATGATGAATGAATTAGTGCCCAGCGGGAGAGGACTGAAGAGAGGCAGAGCCGTGTTAGTTGAAATATTAGAAGGAAGTAATTGCATGTAGCGTATGTAGTTTTGTTGTTTGGTGGGTAGTGGCACAAAAGACTATGTAAATGTGAGGAAGAAAAATTACGACTACAATTGCGGTGTCAAGAAGCTTTTAATTTGATCAGGTCCCATTGACTTATTTTTATTGCTGTTGCAATTGCTTTTGGGTTCTCTTCATGAATTCATTGCTTAGGCCTGAATCTATAAGAATTTCTTTCTAGCAGTTTCTTCTAGGATTCTTATAGTTTCATGTCTTAGATTTAAATGTTTTATACATCAGGAGTTAATTTTTTTTTTTTTTTTTTTGAGACAGAGCCTCAAGCTGTCCCCCTGGGTAGAGTGCCGTGGCATTACAGCTCACAGCAACCTCCAACTCCTGGGCTCAAGCGAGTCTCTTGCCTCCGTCTCCCAAGTAGCTGGGACCACAGGTGCCCGCCACAATGCCCGGCTATTTTTTGGTTGCAGCCGTCATTGTTGTTTGGCGGATCCGGGCTGGGGATTCGAACCCGCCACCTTAGGTGTACATGGCTGGCGCCTTAGCCGGTTGAGCTATAGGCGCCGAGCCAGGAGTTAATTTTTTGACGAGGGAGAGGTGTGGATCCTGGTTGAATCTTTTACATGGGGCTATTCAGTTTGCCCAGCATAATTTACTGAACAGGGATTCTTTTCCCAGTGTATGTTTTTGTCTGTTCTGTCAAAAATTATATGTGGATAAGATGAGAGTTTCATATCTGGATTTTCTGTTTTGATCCATAGATCTACGTCTCTGTATTATGCCAGGACTACGGCGTGTTGGTTACCATAGCCTTGTAACATAGCTTGAAGTCTGGGAAGGTGATGCTTCCCACTTTGTCCTTACCACATAGGGTAGCTTTGGATATTCTGGGACTTTTTTGGTGCCATACAAGCCATAGAACTATTTTTTTTAAATCTGCAAAAAATTGCATTAGTATTTGAATGGAAATTGCATTAAATTGGTAAATTACTTTGGGTAGGATAGCCATTAGTGAAAAATGTTGTTAATTATATGTTAATTAATGGTGTTAACAATAGTCCTTTATCTTATTATGTCAAAATAGATTCATCTTTGAAAGTAATGTCTTCGTTATATAAATTCACCTATCACTAAAGCAATAAGAAGACATCTGCTTTTTTGCTGATGAATGATTCACAAAGGGTGAAAAACCCAGATGATAATAATTTTTGTATTTATCTTATTTAATTATCTTATATATTTTTTGTATTTCTATACTTTATCTTAGCCAAAAGGCTGAAAAACAGTGTTTTTGTTTTTAATTTCTTAACGGGATTTGATTAATTTCTTAATTGAGATTTTCAAGATTACAAAACCTTTATTAAAATTTATTTAGACAATATGAATAATCAATCTGGAAAGTACTACCTATCTCAAAATTAAAAACAGATTTGTAGCAGATAAATCATTGTCCACTTTACGCACACAAAACTCATTAAGTAAAGCTCGGCACTCATAACTTTTACTTCTTTATTGAATAGATATTTTTGGAACAGCCACTGTATCTCCGAACCTACTCTGGACTTGGTAGAAAAATCAGTGAACTAAACAGACATATTCCTTTTACTCAAATACATTGTATTAAATTGGGGAAATAAGATGATAAATTAAAAATCACCAGTGATAATTTCAAGCTCCAAAGTCATAAAGCAAGATAAAGGGATAAAAGGAATGTGAAGGACAGAGGCATCTTTTAGTGAGTTGATCAGGAAAAGCTTGTCTTTTACAGTGAAATTTAAGCTGAGACCTGAAGGATGTGAGAAATGAGCCAAATATAGTATTTGTATCTATGAGCCAAGTATAGTATCTGGGTGATGTGTGTTCCAAAAAGACTGAGCAGCAGTTGCAAAATCTCTGCACTGGGAGTGTCCTGAGAAGGAGGCTGGTGGGCTGAGATTGCAGAGGATGAAGGGGTCTGAGCTGGAGATGCAGCCAAAGATACAGAAGAAGGCCCATCTTGTGGGCCAGGCCAGGAATTTGACCTAGATCAGATATGGTGGCCAATGGTGAGTTTTAGATCAAAATCTTCTTTACTAAACAGCCAGGTTACTCTCGCTACTCTGAAGAAAATCAAAAGAAGTAAGGATAGAAGTAGCCCAGTTAGAAGCTCATAGAAATAATCCAGAATGCTAGATTATTATATCGTCATAGATGATGATATAAGTCAGGAGATTGTGTGAAATGGTGACATTCTGGCTAAATATTAAAGCAACAGCCAAAATGTATTTTATAAATATTCTGATCATCTTTTAAATTACACCAAGCACTTGAATAGTAGAGAACTTAATAGAATACATGGATTTGCTCTCAGTGTGGCAATGTGCTTCCGTCTCTAAGGAAGAACCCACCATACAGAATCCTTACCTACTAACGTATTATTCTACTGGAAAAGAGAATTGCAACCTGCAGACTACATCTATTAAAGCTTTAAAAAATTCAGGACAACATTTTTGTAACAAAGTTTAAAATCTATCTGTCAACACACATACACATAGACAAATAATTTGATTAGGCTTGACAGTATTATTTCATTAAAAAATAAAATAGTAAGATAATACTCAGTTGAATAAGACACATAACAATTCTAAATAAATTTTAAAAAATGAGTTCCTTAAGTATAGGACATTTTGGAGTGAAGATGATGATAATATGTTCAAGCCTATATTTATTTAGTTCAGGCAAATTTTATTTTTTCACTTACTATTAGGAGGCCTTGAAGAATTAAGAGTATTTTTAAAATGTGTATGCAAACATCAGCAGTAGTGTTCCAGTTTCATGTGATCTTAAAATTGTTTTTTGAAAGTTCTGTCTTTGATATTTCAGCAGAAAATTGCAATGCAAAACCAAATTCATGCAGGAATTACACTTTTAAGTATGTGTACTCAGTGCATTTACAAAGTCCAAAAATACATATTCTACATTTGAGTATGTAACCTTTTAGAAAACATCAGTTATTTTAATTTTGAGGCCAATAGAGTTTAAGCTGTAGTTGTAAAATGGTGCATGATTTTGTTTGTTTTCAGAGAGTTTTTCTTTCATCAACTCACTTAAAATATATAAAGTGCAAACATACGTTGATGATCTAATGCAATATTGCCATTATTGGTTTGTCATTTTCCTCCCTTTTACTATTTTCTGCTCTCTACTTTCTATGTGGAGGGAGCATCTATGTGGATAAAAATGATGTAAGTCTTATATAAACTGAGAAGAATGGGGAGAGGCATTTTTATTCATTTTTTTTAAACTTCAACTTTGATCTGCTTTATAAGCACTGTGACAGAATGCTATTTTACTGTGACACTTTGAATTCAGAGGAACATTATGAAACGTTATAAATTTATCCAAGGCACAAGACACTGGTAAAAACCCAAACAAAACAAAATAAAATCACTCTTACTTTACCCTCTCATCCTACCTCATTGAGCAAAGTATAAAAAGAATACTATATTGTGCTCGCTTCAGCAGCACATATGCTAAAATTGGAACGATACAGAGAAGATTAGCATGGCCCCTGCGCAAGGATGACACGTAAATTCGTGAAGCATTCTATATTTTTCCACTGTTTAAAAAAAAAAACTATATGTTGTTGAGTATCACTACCTATAACAACAATAAG